TGTATATTCAAGGGCCATGCAACTGCAGCCTCTTCCCAGCTCCTTGCAGTTGCTCCTTAACTGGACCTAAATCCTACTCCTACCGCTTGCCTCTTTCCCTGTTGGGGCACCTGCTTTGAATTTCTGAGGCCCAGTATCATAGTTGATGATGTCCAGGCCATAGAATAAACAATACCAGAGAAGCCATTGTCAGGCTGCTGGGGTGAAAGAAGCCATGAGTCCAGGTGGGACAGAATTTTAGGGCCCTAGTCAGTTGGATGAAGTCGATCAGATGCCCCTCAGATAGGCAGTCTGACTGAACCAGCACTTATTGAATGGTTGCCATGTGCAGGACACACACAGCCAGCAGTGGTCAGCCATGGCATCTGTCAGGCAAGGGTGGTCACATGCTGATGTTATAGGGTAGGCCAGTCAGACAGGTGGACTCAGTCAAGCAAGAATCAGAATTAGGGCTGGGGATTTAGCTCAGTGGCTCCGCCACCTGCCTCATAAGTGCAAGAACCCAAGTTCCATCCCTGGTACCAAAACAAACAAACAAACAAACAAACAAAAAAGACTCAGAGTTAGAAGCAACAGCCATGCAGACTGGGGCTGAGTGTCTGGCAGAAGTAGTGGGCCAACACACCTCAGTGCTGTGGTGAGGCAAACGCTGGTTCAGTGGTCTCCAGAAGTAGCCAGGGCACACAGGCCCAGGAGTGGTCAGTCAGTCAGTCCATCCGAGCCCTTTGAGCAGAGATGTAGTCAAGCAGCTGGCAAAGATGAAATTGGTCAGTCAGGTGCAGGCGCCACAGCCAGACAGATACAGCTTGTCAGACACAGATGGGGTCTGGTCGGTCAGGTTCAGTTAGACCGCCTGAATCAGATACACCCTGTCAGGCCCAGATGTCCGTCAGCCAGGTAAACGCAGTCAACTGTGGTTAGGTGGACAGATCTGGCAGTCTTGGTCTGTCAGGCACCCATGAAATCTGTGTGCCGTCACACAAAGGCAGACACACTCGAATTATCAGGCAGTGTTGGCGTCTGTAGCCTTCAGACACCGTGGGGTGGTCAGATGTAGGCGGTCTGGCACGGAAGAAACCAGTCAGGTAGGTGTCAGTCTTCCCGGCCTCCGGGCTTCATGGGCGGAGCTTGGACTGGCTGGAGGCGGGGTCTCTTCCGACTCGGCCCACAGATCCCTCCCACCTCTTTCCCTGCAGCCGCAGGCGTTGCCATGGCAGCCGTGGACCAGATCCCTGCCTGCCTGCCTGCTTGCCTGCTTACTGTCTGCTTACGGGTCCCTGAGCCCTCTGCTTTTCCGCACCGGCCCAGCCCCCGATCCTCCTTCCTGGTCCGGGCAACCAGCGACTTCGGACGGCTCTCTCCTCTCTTCCTTTCTGGAAGAGCCCCAAGGTAATGGGAGTAGGTAGGCTGCGCCCCCGCCCAGGTAGCATAGACCCTGCTGCCCGGTTGGCACTTTATCACCTTCCTGCACAGATGAGGATGATGGAGAATGACTCACTCATGTAAGGAAACACGGCAAGACGGACAGAGACCCACAACTTCAGGGTCCTCAGGTTCTCATCGTGACCCTGCATCAGCCTTCAGGGACAATCACATTTATCTGGATAGACAGGGTGTATCCAGTAGAGAGAACAGCCCACGCCATGATGTGAGTAGGGGACTATGAGCTTAATACAGTGATGACAAGGGCACACACCGAGCACTGTAGTGAAAGCTTTATGTACAGTATTTCATCGAAGTCTCACAATTTTCCTTCTATAATGATACCCCCTTCCCTCTCTACTGGGGACATAATCCAAGGGGCACTCTGCCACTGAGCTACATCCCCAGTCAGCTCTTTTTGAGACAGAGTCTCATTAAATTGCCACAGTACTAAGACTGGCAATCTTCCTTTCTCAGCCTCCTGAGAAGCTGGGATTACAAGCATGCACCACTTTTTACATGAGGAAATCAAGCATAAAGAGGTTTGGTGACTTACCTAGGGTCAGGGGTTGGAAGGTATAAGAGCCAGGATTGGATTACAGATAGTCTGTTAGCATGTGAACCCTTAACACATCTCTGGTTGGCCACGGTGGGGGCACAAATGTCACTCAGAAGGCTAGAAGATCATTCGAGGCCACAAATTGAAAACTAACCTGGGCAACAAAGCAAGACCCTGTCTCAAACACACACACACACACACAATCACTCTCTACCCTCTCCTTATAACCTTCTGTTATGATTCGTATCTAGATGTCCCCCCAAATCCTCATGTGATCATAGGCTATTTTGGAGGTAGCCGAATCTAGAGTGTGTGGTTGATTCGTGATGGGGCTAGACCTGAGGGCACTAGGATTAAGGGCGTGAGTGCTACCTGACCTAAGTGGTCTGAATAAGATTAAAAGGGGCAGAAAGATGCTGTTAAGGCCTCTTGTTACCTTTGCTGCCTTAAGTACACTATGTTGTTTCTCCTCTTCAATGACTGTCGTCCCTTTCTTGGAGTCAGCTGATTAGGGACTGAAACCTCTATAAACTGTAAGCCAAACAGACCTCTTCCCCTCTAACTTTGGATGTCAGGTATTTTGTCTCAGCAACAAGAGAAGAATAACTAACACCCCCTGAAAGCACTACATGAATCCCCTTTATAAGGCCTCTCTAGTCTGTTTCAGAACACCAAGCTCGATGCTGGGCCCTGAAGCAGGAGGTCCTTGTGAATGTCTCTGCCTCAAGGACCCAAAATAAGAAACTATTGTCGATGTGGTGGGGCACACCTGTAATCTCAGCACTCAGGAGGCTGAGGCAGGAGGATCGCTGTGAGTTCGAAACCAGCCTGGGCTACATAGTGAGTTCTAGGTCAGTCTCAACTACATAGTGAGACCGTGTCTCAAAAAAACCAAAATAAGAAACTATCAAAACTGAGAATTTAAGCCAAACCAGGGACAAACTATAGATCTGACTCACAAGGCTCTGAGAAAGGGAGGCCTGTGAGATAAGAGAAGCCTACGCCGAAAGGCTACTGAAAATCTGGGTGGGCTGTCACTGAGGAACTCCAGGAATATAGCTTTTAGTGCAAAAGGTCTGTGATCAAGTTCTAGCATGTGAACCAGGAGTTAGGAACACATCAAGGATCAGAAACTCAAACAACTGGGCCAGGGATTTAGCCCAGTGGCACCTCACCTGCCTCGCAAGCGCAAATTCCTGAGTTTGATCCCCAGTACCAAAAATAAAAAGAAGAAGAAACAAACTCAAATATCTATACAGATAATAAGAGTCATGAAAATGAGTCAAAGGGCCAGACTGGCAGACCTACTGTACCTAAAGAGACACCTGCCTTCTGCTCCTGCCCACTGTGTCCTCAGACACCAACTGTCTCTAGTCCTCTAGTTAGGTAACATTGTCAGCTAACATGGAGACTCAGTTCCTCCATCCACATAAGAAAATTTTAGCTTTCTCTCACAGGGTGAAATTTTTTGGAGATAAAATCTTACTGTATATAGAAAATATGAGAAATGTAAAGTACTCTATGAATTGAGGGGAAGCAAGAGAACGTTGACTATTGGGCATCTGCTGTGTGGTCTACAGGAGCTCTGATAGAGAAGGCAGGGCCTGCCCAGCATGGTGGTACACACCTGTAATCCCAGCACTAGGGAGGCTGAGACAGGAGGATCGCTGTGAGTTCAAGACCAACCTGGACTACATAGTGAGTTCCAGGTCTGTTTCAACTACATAGTGAGATCCTGTCTCAAAAAAACAAAACAAACAACAACAAAAAAAGACAAGCCAAGCCTTGTATCCTTGCATGATGAGGAGATGCCCTTCCAGGAGACTGCTGACTTAACCAAGGTTATAAGCTGGTGTGTAGTGAAACCAGAATTTATCTTGTGGCTCAGTGTTCCAGCTGTGGTCATTGGGACCTCTTTCATGTTATACCCTTTTGGCACCAGCTATTTTGCCAAGTATAACCTGGGTACCACTGGTTGTACCAACATGATTTCAAGTGGAACACACACGAACATTTTTAAGAGTTATTTATTTACTGTAATGTATGTCAGGAAAACGTATAACCTAGCATGTCAACTTGGTGATTTCACAAATACTACTGAGGACAAAGTTTATACAGCCAAAGTTATGCTAAGTCAATCCACAGAGAAAGGTATTAAGTAAAAAATGGTATTGCAGTGTTATGGCCCAAATGTTTGTGACTCTTACAAATTCATAGGCTGAAGTTCTAACACTCCAAGGTGATGTATTGAGAATTAAGTTCTTTGGAGGGTGAGTAGATCATGACAGCAGAGTCTTCATAAGTGGGATTTGTACCCTTATAAAAGAGACCTAAGAAAGACCCCTTGCCCTTTTCACATGTGAGGACACAGCCAGAAATCCCCACCTATGAACCAGAAATCAGATCCCCACCAGACACTAATCTACTGGTTCCTTGATCTTAGACTTTCCAGCTTCTAGAACTTTGAAAAATAAATTTCTGTTGTTTATAAGCAATCCAGTTAATGGTATTTGGTTAAAGCAACTTGAATGGACTAAGACATTTTGGTACACAGGTATGGAGTAACTTGTTAAACTAATCTGGGAATGATTCAAGTTTGAGAAACTGTGCTAGGGTGGATTGAGTCCTAAATTCAAGCAACAGTGATAACTCTGAGGATTATAAACTGGCTCCCTAGGACACATCCCCATACAATCAGTCTCCAAGGCCCTACTGCCAATCAAACCTGCCTCTGTGTAGATGTGTGTGCTGATGTTGGTAATGGGGGAGAGAACTGCATGCCTAGTCCTGGGAGAGGATGGATGTTGCATGATATTTGTTTCCTGAGAGAAATATGTGGGTAGCTCACTGCTCAGCACCCTTCTTACTAATGAGCTTAGAGCCTTTGGCTTAATAAACACTGTTTTGTGTCACAGGCCTGACATGTGATGTTTCCCAAGGCGAAGTGCTAGGGATGCTTGTTATTTTTACTTTTGTCCCCTGTCATCCTTGATCTGAGACAGGCAGAAGGACACGGCAGATTCAGCAGTCAGAGTGAGTGCACCCCTGGCTCGGGATCTTGTCTGGGGCCTCTGAACCCACACCATGAGCTTGAGGATGCTCAGAATTGATTTTCACCATTCAGACTGCCTGTCTGTCCAGGCCTGATCACTGACTTTTAGGCCATGAATCTGTGTTCTAATTGAGCAGTGGAATGCCAGAATCTCCAGCCTGCTTTGAAATAGAATACCCTTCAAGAAAGCAGTCCTTTAGCTTCCCTGCTTCTGGTCTGAGTGTTTACTCAGGCCTCTAAATCCCCTACAGTGCCTTTCAGGGAGCTCTTAAGTCAGGTGACTCGGACTAGAATCCCAGTTTTTCCTAAGAACTAGACAGGTTACAAGGCTTCTCATCTGTACAAAGAAGATAGTAGTAGGATCTCAGGATTGCTGTGCAAATTAAATGAGAGTATACATAAAGTGCTTAGCCAGTTATTAAAGTGCCTGGCCCACAGTATATGGTCAAGAATTCATTTAATAATTGCTAATGTCTACTGTATATCTATACTTGGTGCTGGGGATATAGGGAAAACAAAAACAAAATAAACTAGGAAATCAATAGATAAAGTGAACCATTTAAACCATGTCCATGGTATAATGCCTTATATAAAAGAAATGCACATAAATGTTCATTATTATTAATAAAATAATGAGATACTGTGATGAAGAGCAAGGTGATAATAACTTGAAACAGGGAAGGCAGGACAGGCTCTAAGGAAATAAAACTGGAGCTGAGATGTACAAGATGATAAAATGAGCCTTGCCAAGAGCCAGGTGACCCCTTCCAGGTAGATAGCATGTACAAAGGCCGGGAGGCAGAGCAGAGCTTGGAAAGTAGAAGGAATAGCAAGGAGGCCAGTGTGGCTGGGATGTGATGACCAAGGAAAAGAATAGTTCACGATGAGGCATAAGGGAGGCAGAAGGTGGGGAAGGCAGTAACTATGAGAAAAGGTTTGGATTCTGTTCCAAGTACAAGAAAAGCCTCTGAGGGCTTAAACAAGAGGGTAGCAAAATCTGACTTCTGACTGAAAGTTAATTCTGGCTTCTATAGGAATGGAGTAGGAAGCGGGAGAAGTAGAAACCACCAAAACAACTCCAAATCTATTAACAGCATCCAGATGAGCAATGTTTCCAGTTTGGATGTAGCTATAGACCAGTACCATCCAAGAGCACTTTCTGGGAAAGAGGAATATTCTACATTTCTGAGAGCTGAGCATTTGGAATATGGCTAATGCAGCTGAAAAACAATTTTTTGAGGCAAGTGGCAGATCCACTGAGCTAAATCCCCAGCCCTTGAAAAACAATTTTTAATTTCATGTCACTTTAATTAATTAAAATTTAATAGCCTCTTGGAGCTAGTGGCTGCTGTAAGGACAGCATGGGAATTGGTCATTTTTGAAATATATTTAAGAAGCAGATCAAACTGAAGATGATTGAGGTGTGGGGGGTAAGAGAAAGAGGAATTAAGAAAGCTGCCTACTTTTTTAATTTGGGGACTGGTGGATGATACTATCATTTACTGCTCTGGGGAGGAGTAGGCTCTGGAGAGATATCCCATTTTGATTTGCTCAAGAGAGGTTCAAAACAGTATGTAACATTCAAAGAGAGATGCCAAGTAGAAGTGGGATGGATGCTTGTCATCATTGTCATCTTTGGGTTACAGGAACACCATCCTGTTTGGCTATCTAGGAGACAGGAGCTCAGAAAGGGGGGCAAGTAGCCTCCTGCCCCTTATCTTCATCAGTGTCCCAGTCACCCACCTTTCGACTTAGTCCTAGTGTCTGAAACCCTTGTGTGATGCACATCTCCTCCTTCCCCTCCTCCTTCATCACTCAATATTAAGCCCACTGGCTTCTTCCTTTGTGGTGCTAGGAACTCTCAAATAACCTGTTTTCTAGTCCTAGAGCTACTCACCAGGCTCAGGCCCTTGTCAACTAACTGTGGACTCAAGCTCACGGGTGTCTCACCACCTCCTATGAGAGGTCCTTCTGGCTTTTCTTGGAAGTCCTGCGTGGGTCTGGTTCAAGAGTCTTAAACCCAGGCCAATCCCTGATCTTCCCTTATATTTCCAGAATGTATCCAAATCAGAAATATGTCCAAATCAGAAGCTTTCACAAAGCTTGGAAGTTCACAAGAATGTTAATCATAGCATTAATAACAAAAGATAGAAGTACAACTTTCAACCTGAGCTGACTTCACCCATCATCCATGTTTTACACTGTTAATAGGTCTCACTTGACACTTTCCTCAGTCATGTCCAAGTCATCCCATTCTTTTCGTTGTTCTGACACTGTGGTCACCCTTCAGTTTCCTTTTCTGGTTCCTTCACGTCAGCTTAATCTCATAAATATTATCTAGGGCTCAGGCCTCAGGCCTCTCTTCTCTTACTGTCTGTTCTCTATTGGTTGTCTTAAGCAGCCTTATGGCTTTAAAGGCATCTATTTGATGATGATTCCCAAATATGTCTTTCCAGTTCAGTCTCTTCCTGAAGTCCAGACTCAGAAATACTACTGTGTATTTGACATTTCCACTTTAATGTTAAACAGGCTTCTAAACTTATGTCCAACACTGAGCTCTGTCAGAAAGTCCCGTAGGCTTGACTTTGTAATATATCCTGAGTTCAACCTCTTTTTGCCCCTTACTGGTCATTATCCTGGTATAGTGGTCCACCTTTATCCTAGAGGGATATGTCCAAGACTCCCAGTGAATGTCTGAAACCATAAATAGTAGTGAACCCTACAAATTAATGCCTTTTCCATTTTAACTAAGTACTTACACACTGTGGCTGTAACTTTTGCAATTTGTAGTTAGTGCAGTTTTTCCTTCTTCACAATTTCAAGAATAAAAAATTCAGAGCTTGGGTGTAACTCAGTGGTGGAGCACTTGCCTAGCACGGATAAAGCCCTGTGTTCCATCCCCAGCACTGAAAAAGAAAAAATATAGAGGAGGTCTTACTATAGATCTTAGCAACCTCAGTATGCAATTTTTTGTTCTTACTAAGTCAAGAACTTCACTTTTTTCATTCAGGAGAAACACTTTATAAATTGACTTTGGAATATCTGATTTGCCCAAATCACCACTCTTGTGCTTTGGAGCCATCAGTAAGTAAAATAAGGGTAACTTGAACACAAGTACTATGATACAATGACAGTAGATCTGATAACTGAGAGGGTTATTAAGAGACCAATGAGAAGGTAACATACACCATATGGATACACTAGACAAAGGGATGAGTCCCATCCTGGCAGTATGGAGTGAGACAGCAAGAGATTATATCCTGCTACTCAGAACAGGGTGCAATTTAAACTTATGTATTGTTTCCTTCTGGAATTATCCATTTAATATTTACTGACAGTGGTTAACCCATTCATGTGCAAGTGAAACTGTGGAAAGAGAAACCATTCTAAGGGGGAACTACTAAACAAGCCCCTATATATTTCACACAGGTGACCCTAAGGGTCTGCTATCAGGTCTCCCTACTTCTGCTCATGTCCTCACTTCATCTCTCCTCAGCACTGCAGTTCAAGTCCCTCCAAAGGCTTCCATTTCTGTTCTCACACACCCTGGCCCAGGCTGACCTCTCCTCCCCTTTGCAGCCTGTTTACTGACCTTTCCTCTCTGTTAGCAAGGTTCTTCTACCAAACATCCCAAAGCAAGCTCATTCCTTGGCTCCGTTTGCTCTAAAGTCATCTGGGCATTCTCTAAAACATTCCACAAGCCAGGCATTGGGGTGTATGCCTGCAATCCCACTAGGAGGTTGAGGCCCACAAATTTAAAGCCTGGGTTACACAGTGAGTTCAAGGCCAGCCTAAACTGCATAACCAGACCTTGTCCCAAAAAACAAAACATTCCACACCCATGTTTGATATTCCTCTTCCTCATTTATTTTTTCTATTTGCCCTTTTAAGTATTTTAAGGATCTTGTTTAGAGGGATGAAAGGGAAAGGAGAAGTAAAAAGAATACATTACATACATGTACCAAGTCCCCATCATGACTTTAATCATGTACTGTAAATATATACCAATACGTTTTTAAAAGGATCTTATTACCTGTTTTCCTTAATAGAATGTTTTTTTTCCCTTCCGTACTGCATTCCTGAGTGTTTATGGCGTACATAGTGGGTGCTCAATAACCAGGTGGTGAATGAATGAAATACAGTAAGGGGAGTGAGGAAATCAAGAAACAGGCATACTGGAGGTCTTGTGATGCTGGTAACAACTCTTGTTCGGAACTGCAAGCCAAGAGGGCGTCCTCACCCAACCTAATTACCCCTTCTGTAGTTCCCCAGAAGGAACGTTGTAGTCCAGGAACCGCAGCTCTCCGGCCCAGGCGCTAGAGCACTTCCGGTGCCGCTCCTCTCTCGTCAGCAGAGAGAACTGCCAAGTCAGTTCCGCCAGAGAGCGCAGGGAGAAACAGCGCGGCCTGCTTCCCCGGGTCCTCCAGGTCCCCCGCCGATGGCGGTGGGTAACCTGGGGGGCCCGAGGGTGGGCCGCGCCCCTTCCCTGCAGGCTGTTGGATCCCTCGCTGTGACCACCCACTGGCTGGGCCCAGGCTTTGAAGAACAGGCGAACTGCTCCCTCACCCCACTTCGACGACGTTATGGCGGCGGTGGCCTCGGAGCCAGAACCCCTCAGGCAGAAGGGCTCCCGGTCCAGCCTTGCTGGCCTAGGCAAAGCCCCCGCCGGCAGTCAAGGACGTGCGGTCTTGCGGCGGCTGCAGCAAGGCGTGGTGAGAAGAATGGCGGCCTCCGGACTGCAGCAGAGGGCCGCATAAAGCGGGCCTGAAAACTCGGCCACTTCTGGTCATCGGACTGCGCTGATCCGGGTCCTGAGGAGACTGCAGGGTCTCAGTTGTGGAGGAGACCGCACCTCCTTGCGAGGAGGACGAATAAAGGCCTCGCCTGCCCTGGAAGGTGAGGGAGCTGAGGCCGAGGACAGTTGCCAAAGAGAGAAACCTAAGGTAACAACATTCCGTTTGTCTAATTGGAGATACCCACCACCCTTTGGGAAGATTTACTGGCCGTTTTCAGAAGGCCTGTGTATATAATATGAAAAAGCTGCTCTCAACATTCCCCCAACCTTTAAAAGAAAACTTCCTGCATGTGGACAACATAGATGTAAAGAAGTTGCCGGCGTATGATAAAGTAGTTAGAAAAACCACACGTCTTGGAAACGCCCATTTGTTTAAAAGACTAAACGTTTTCTGAAAGTGACCTTGAAATGAAGTTGGGTCAACCACCTGGAGAAGCCACACTCGTGAAACTTGGCCACATTTGTTCTGCGGGTTAGAGGACACGGAGCAGGAGACAGAAGAGAAGAACGTCCAGCGCCAGACTGGTTACATGTAGAAGACGTTGTTTGTATTGTAGCCATTGTTTTCTGTGTGCATTTTAGTCCTCAATACTATATAATTGACAATGCTAATTACTTTATTGAACTGAACCATCTGGTCTTTTGAGATAATTCTCAAGTGCCTGATACATGTTAAAAAGTAGTAGTAGTAAAATAACACATTTTGTAAATGTATTTTTGTTAGAATGCACATGAAGTGTTACTTTGTGGGGGGAATAGGCAGACCCCCTCTTGATACGTAGTACACGTTGTTTGCACTGGTTCTGAAAGAGAAATTTCCGAGTGCTGTGCTAGTGCACTTATAGCAAGGCAAGTTACCATTGTCCCTTACTTACCTTTGTGCATTTTTACTTTGCTGTGTACATAGGGTATATAAAGAATGAGACCTTATACATCATCTAGTCTTCCTAGATGTTAAAACGTTGCCAGTTTTGAAAAAGGTAGAGTTAGTAGACTAACAAATTTTGTATTAAAATTCCAGGAAAGATTGTCTTCTGAAAATTTGAGCATTTTAGCCCACTGGGTTAGTGGAGAAAGGAAGGGTTCTAAAATGCTCATATTTTTAAGACACTTTAAACTATTGTTACATTTGTGCAGTTTAATCAGGACTGCTGTGCATATATAACGGACAAATTGAGTCTTGAAACATCTAGTCTTATCTAGATGTTTAGAAGTGCCCAACGTATGTTAAATGTAGAGGTAGTAAAATATCACTTTGTAAATATCTTTTTGCTA